CTTGTTGTCCTTAATCCGGGAAGCCAGCCCCTGTTCCATCTCTGCCTTGGCCTTCCTAACCATCCCCCTACATCCCCGAGCAACTGCTGAATAGTCCTCCTTAGTGATGACCCCTCCTTTCCATTGGGAGTAAGCCTCCTTTTTGGCAAGGAGACATTCCCGGATGTTTTTAGTGAGCCACGGAGGCTTATATGCTCTCCTGCCCCCTTTGACCCTACTGGGGATTACCTTCCCCTGGGCTTGGAGGATCCTCTCCTTAAGGAGCGACCACTCCCCTTGGACACCCGGCTCCCCTCCCGTCTGAGTCTTCAGCCCCTCCCCATTACGGGACAGGGAGGCCTGGGTGAGGGAGATTCCCTGTCCTCCATCAATATTGACCTCATGAAGGAACACCTTGAGAGGCTGGACACCTTCAAGTCAGGTGGACCTGACAATCTACATCATAGCTCAGCCCCTGGCACAGGTCTTCAAGAGCTCCTGGTGCTCTGGTGAAGTGCCTGCAGATTGGAAGAAGGCCAATGTGGTGCCTATCTTCAAGAAAGGGAGGAAAGTGGATCCGGCAAATTACAGGCCCATCAGCCTGATCTCTATCCCAGGGAAGGTCTTAGAAAAGATGATTAAAAAGAGGCCAGTCTTAATAGACTGGCCTACAGCAACATCCTGAGGCATAACCAGCACAGGTTTGTTGCGGGTAGGTCTTGCTTGACCAACCTCATATATCTTGACTTCAAAAAAGCCTTCAATCTGGTATCCCATGATCACCTCTTGGCAAAACTGGCCAACTGTGGCCTCCGGTCCACCACAATCTGCTGGATGGGGAATTGGCTCCGTGGTCGGACCCAGAGGGTGGTGGTTGACAGAAGTCAATTGTCATGGTGCCCCGTGACCAGTGGTGTCCCCCAAGGCTCTGCCCTTGGACCCATATTGTTCAACAACTTCATTAATGATGTGGACACTGGAGTCAGAAGCAGACTGGCCAAGTTCACCAATGACACCAAACTCTGGGATAAAGCATCCACACCTGAGGATAGGAGGGTGATCCAGCTGACCTTGATGGGCTCAGAAAATGAGGAGATGAGAACCTGATGGTGTTCAACACTGAAAAATGCAAGGTTCTCCACCTTGGGAGGAAAAACTTGCAGCATCCTTACAGGCTCGGCAGTGCTACGCTG